TCTCGTTTCTCTCCTAATATCATGTTCTTATTTGAACCAAAACACACACACACACAATATATATATATATATATATATATATATATATATATATATATATATATATATATTCAATTTTGGAGGAGTGAAGCTCGAAAGTAGTCTGACACCACCTGCACAACTCATTTTCGAACCTGGCAACTCCATTATGCGATATCTAAGAAAACCGAAAAAAATTACACTTTTAGGAATCAAATGTTACAAACCTACACTTATCCGTCAAACTCTCAAAATCATTTGTGACAAGGACTATTCAAATTAAGCACATAAGTATAATATATATGTAATACACATAGGATAAATGTGCATGAGTGAACTATTATTATTCAAGGAGATACTTCATAATATAAGTACAATAATTACATTGAGTTAGTCATTTAGTTATATTTGACTTTGAAAACATATAACTTTCAATACAAGTGATATGACAAATAAATAAGGATTTGGCTATTAAAAGGGGCCATATTTGTTCTAGTAAGACTTGACATGTGAGTGTATTGTTTCAATTTACTTAAAATGGTCACATACAAAGTAAATTGTTCCTATAAATAGAGTATTCACCCACTCACTTTCTCATGTTATAAGGACTAGATAGATAGTCTTACCATTGAAAGTGATGTTTTGAAGTTTGTTGTCTACGTGCACCAGGTTAACATTTAAAGAAAACTTGATGAGTGGTTAATATAGATGAAATGTGCATCTAATGATAATCAACTTTTAATATGTTCAAGTTTAGTTTGAAACGTTTACCTCTATTAAGGCAGCTACGTACTTCTTTGTTTGAAAAGATACCAACTAATACATACATGCCCAATTTTATTTTATCAAAATACTAATTCGTTTAAATTTTGAAATAGAGGGTTCACAGGCATGGGAACAACTGATGCATGGGAAATTGTGGGTTCAAAGACATGGTATGTATTGTTTCTTAATGCATATATTGAAAAAGTTTATATATTAAAAATGTTGATGTATTACTTGATTCATTCTCATGTACGTAGCAACTTCTAGATAGAGAGAGAAACATGTGTTAGAGTTGAGTCCGACCGTAACTATGCGTAAGCTTAATAAATCCACAACAGTAGGTTCAAAGAGATGATCTTTTTCAAATAAAATTTTGGGTAAAGCTTACTTTAGTACTTGGATGTAAATGAAGTATTAGTAAGTCACATGACATTGCTCTTATTTTTAAAAATGCTTATGTAAGACAAAAAGATACTAAATGATGGGATTATGATGGTACAACATACCTAATATTTAAACGAAATTTCTGCCATGTCAACTCACTGCAATACAAGTCTAAGGCATAGGGGGGAAAGTTGCATGAGTACTAGAGATCCATACGTGAAGGGAAAACATTCAAGAAGGAGGTTGAGGGGATGCATGAGTGAGGAGAGGACATGAGGTAAGCCTCTCACCTTACACTCATTGGTCTATTGAGGTAAAAGAGCCACTCTCACCCCTCCCCTCCATTATGCTCGACCAAGGCCATCAAGAAATAGAAAAAAAGCTCTCAACACACCCTCCATAGCTTCAAATTTTGATCTCAAGCAATAGATGTCCAAGAAGGAAGTGCAAAGAGCGAAAAAGTGAGGAAAAGCTTGGATAATTAAGGTAATGATCTTATAACAACTTTTTCCCTATTCTTTAACTACCATACGACTTATATAGCATATGAGGAACCCCTATGATAGATCTACATGTTTAGAAGTGTAGAATGAGGGGTTGGAAGGTAGTTCTAAGTCCAAGAACGAACTTAGAAGCCAAAGTGACCAGTTCGCCAAACTGAGTATGGTATGAACAATGTTCATGGACGCCTTGTACAATCGAGTGAGTGTGACTTGAGGGTGACGTCAATTGATTGTACGACGGTTGTACATGCGCTTAGATGCGGTTTGGGGCATGACACATCATCTCTAACTCTCAGACATCGATCAATTATGTTGTGGAGGATTACCGACATGATTGATTACCATCTTCATAATAACCACATATAGACATCTTCGTTAGGTATTATCACTAGTACTTGCAACTATTGATTTGCACCATCATTAGAGGACATCATCATGCGACCTCCACCTACTACTGTTATTTCTAACTATTAACATCATCATCATCATCATCATCGTCATCATTGTTGTTGTTTGGTGTCTCTTTCATTTGCCACAATTGACAATCACGCTACCAACACTGATTCGAAATGTTATGTCATCACAAACCTTGACACATAGATGTGCCTCGCCAGCGCTAGAGACCAACTTTAGGGCATGCTATTACTAGATCTCAAGGATAAACAGGTCATTCATTACCTAAGACATTATTTATCATTCATAATTAAATGCATTATTATATTATTATGTATTATTATCGTTACGAAGTAATAAATTATTTATGTAACTCACTAGTGCAAAGTATAACAAATACGGAGTAACATTGAATCCCATCATTGATGATTGTATGTAAATGGGTATTGATGTTCTAAGCAAAATCATATGATATTTTGGTTTTTAAAAGAAAAAAATATGTGTACAAAATATGGTGTATATTGGATATACATAATTCCACGCTTTTAATGATTCATTTTGAAAATTTAATATTCTCGTTGACAAGCAATTCTTAATAAATTTTGAGATCAAGCCTATTACTTCTAGCATTAATTAATCATAAAAACTAGTTATATCGATTATAAAACATTTCATTCAACACTAAACTTTATAAAAATCATTACCAAGTTTTTTTTTATATTTTCATTTTCTAAGACTGACAATTACTAGAGAGAATCGAGAGACTCTCTCTCTAGCCGCGGAAGTGAACGCCTTGTGCATTAGGGTTTTGGAGCTGCACAAGGTATGAATTTTGTTTAGCTTCTTCAGCGAGATAACACCGGGGAGATGGAGGGTAATCCAACAGGTGAGATACAAAGAATTACCGACAGAATCAAGGGCATATCATTCCAATCATGATGAACGGCGATGCAAGGGACAAAAATAGATCAGAAACGGGAAGGGATGATGAGATGAACAAGGAAGAAGACAGACCGTCCCCTCCTGAACCGTCGTATTGGAACGATCGAGGTGCCAAAGTTTGGAAGATGGTGTTTCAAGAAAACTGACATGAAAGAGTTTGGAGCTTTTATTAGTTAGTTTATTTCTTATATTATTTTCGCGACATGTTTGGTTACGTTGTTATGTTTTTTGTTGATGCCTTTAGTTTTAGGTCTACAATGATTGACAATTTAGCTAACTATTATGTCACTGGAAGGATCTATATGCCCAATAATTGTTGTGTCACACCCGCTTGGTGGTTAGCGATTCATATTGCTCTTTCAAGGGATCAGATATCGTTTCTATATCTAGCCATATGATTGATAGTGATAGTTGGTTATGAATAGTTGTTGTCGGCAGAGTTTGATGTAACGAATCAAATCCTAATAATATTAATATAAGTGATTTTTTCCTTTGAAACAAGACTAACGATTAAACAACAACAACAACAACATCCAAGCCTTAATCCCAAAAGAATTTGGGGTCGGCTAACATGAATCGATCTATGATATCAAAAATGCCAAAGAGAGAAGATGGACAAGAAAGAGAAAGAAAAAAGTAAGATAAAATGAATAAAATAAAGATAAACTAACGATTATTAAAGAGTTAAAAAAACTTTTGAGAAGGTTATGCCAAACTAGGGGTGGATCCAGGATTTCGAGTCAAGGGGGGCGAATTTTTTTCCGTTAGGGTAGTGTTTTTTATTTCTAATGTAGTGGAGCGAAATTTTTTCCGCTAGTGTAGCAGAGCGATTTTTTCAATTGTGTAGGCCTTTGCGGCTAATTTTTATTCAAAAAGAATTAATAGGTACATACATGAATACATGATGACGTTTAAATATATTACATTTTAAGTTTAGATAATGAAAAAATAATAACTTTGATTTTATAATTAAAAGTGCTTTAGAAAAAAGTATTGATACATTAAAGCGTAAGAAATAGCAAATCAAAGAAAAATTATTTGAAAATAAAAGTGAATATATAACATTTTATCAAATTATTTGAAAGTAAAGAGTTTAAAAGATGCACAACCACCAATGCTTTTAAATAACTCTTGCTATGTTTAATCAACTGAATCTTATCGGTACAAGGAATTGATTTTTGAATTGAAAATTTTGTTTACCAATAAGGGTGTTCATGACTCATGAGGAGTTTTGCTAATATTACAATATACTATGTTTGAGATTATTATTTTTAGAATAATATTATATTGCCAATTCTTATATATGGTGCATGTTAAATTTATATTAATGTCTAAAATAAGTTAAACTTTATTATCTATGCAATAAATTAATTTTTAAACGTAAGAAGTAAATGAATTGTGTAATTTTAAATTCACCTCACATGATCTTAAAACTGTTTAACTAGCGTGTCTCGTATTTAATATTGTTTGATATTTTACAAATCTAGTACTAATGATCTAATAAATTAAAGATAATTAAACATTTCAAAACTATGATTTTTTATATAATAGGTATCCTAAGTCTTAAACAATGAGTTGTTCTATTATTTATTTGTTTAAGTTATGTAAATTATTTTAGATGTTTCATCTTTTAACTCTCCAATTAAGTATTACATAATGTATAGTTATATATTAATTTTGAAAACTAAAAGTTAAGGGGGACAGACACATATATATCTAATTAGAGTACAAAAATTTTATGAAAATATTACATACTACTTTCGTCCCACTAAGATTGAGATGAGAGAAGGTGACACGATTATTAAGAAAAGTGAGTTTGTGTGGTTGATACTACGTATTAAATTGATAAAGTGAGAATAAAATAAGAATGATTTAGAGTTACATAATCTTTACCAAATTTGATATGAGATAATCTTAACGAGACCGAAGGAGTAATCGTACACGGTGCCAAACATACACATGAGCACATGAGGGTAGCATGGCACCTCATTGTTTTGCTCGTAGTACGTGTTGTTATATTGGCTAAAAATGGGTCATCTGTGACCGGACCCGAACCTGACGTCAACACGCCCATTTCAAACTTCATGTAGAAGACTCAGCTGGGTTCAATTCCTCCTCACGTAGCAGCTCTCCAATCCCAAATTTCATACACCGCCTACGCCCGTTCTTTTTCATCCCCAATTCACTTACAAATCCATTTTCTGAAAACCCTAACAGCAAGTCTCTTCGTGAGTTGAATTTCAGTTTTTGTTTAGCTGAAGGGTATACACTGTAACTCATAAACGAAGTTGTTTGTGGATAATCTGACTACATTGCTTACTCAGATAGCTTACCTGCATTTGGGGTTGTCTATAAATTGTATACTTGGTTGAGGGCTTACAATGTCGGAGGACTTGATACTCCAATTTTCCTCCAACTCTTCGAACCAATCAGACAATTCTAAAATGGCCAAGCTGGAGGCACGAATGGTGCGCAAGGCAGCTTCTTCCCCTCAACCCATCTCATGGTCTGCTACTGCTAAGTTTGGAGATGCAGAGAGCCTGCCAGAGACTGTGGTGTCAAGTGATTCTGATGATGATGACGATGTGAGTTCCTGAATGCCATGTTTCTTTCCTTGTAATTTGCTATGTACATATATTCGATCATTTGACATATACTGCTAATACAGATGTGTATATACTGCTAAGGGGTTCTTCTTCATATTGTTGCTCCACGAGAATCCCTTAGATGTATTCTGTCTTCGAAGTTCAGTGAATCTAACTCTTTGCTACTCTTGGCTAAACAGTTTGATCAAGGAATAAATTTGGTGACTGACCACCAGCCAAGTCTCCCAATTTCTTCCTTTTTGATCTTTCAGTAGTTAGTAGTTTCTCACAGGGAAGTAATAACACTGTTTGAAGAAATGGTTTTCAGCTTATTGATACTTCGACAGCCTCCCATTTGAGGGAATGTTGCTCTAGTTCATTTGCTGGATTTATTATGACATCTATTTTCCTTATCTAATTCTCGGTTAATGAGCTCAACTTTTCCGTATTGTAATTCATGTGTGAGCTTTGGATGGTTCTATGTTCGTATTGTGGCTACTTGAGATGCCATTAATAAATGAAAGAACCATATTCATAGAAGTGGAAATGATTAACCAGTGCAGAGTTTGCAAGTTACTGAGTACTGCATGTAAACCCAGTTTTAATATCTCTAAAATGTAGAGCATTTGTTTAATTTTCTAATTGTGCATATGTGTGTGTTATCCTATCATGGTCATACCACATCAAGTGATCAAGTATTACCATGGACGGGTTGATTAGGTCTACCCAAAACATGGTACCATGTTGTAGCTTGTTTCCATATGTCGACTTTCTAAAGATCTCTCAAAGTTTCTGAATTGTGGAAAGCCACCCCTAAGATATTTTTCCTTTCTGGGCATCGTAGCATTTGCGCTGTTATTCGAGCGTTGGAGATTAACCCTTGCAATTGCATCAAGTTCTTAGAATATGAGACTACGGTTCGGCTGTTCTTGTCTATGTGCATGCATATACATTCTTCCTTTCCTGAATTTTTTGTCTTCTAATGCCAGAATGGAGGGGAATTTCTCATACAAGCAAATACTTTGAAGCGTCGCAAGCCTGAAGAAGATACAAGCCCAATTGCCTATGAAAATGTTGAGGTGCAGTCTGTTTTTGGTTGGAATATTCTTTGCAGTTACAACTTGAAATAGTCATAATACGTAGCTAAATTCTCTTCATAATAATCCTTCACTACATACAATTTTAAGTCAAAGCACTGATACCAAAAGAAATGTTTATTAGGCAGTGGCAGATATGGGTAAGAAGAGTATAGATATTACAGATGCCGGAAAAGTAGGTACAGAAGGAAACCGTAAAAGACAAAATCGTGGCAGGGGAAATTCTACCACCGGTAGAGGACGTGGTCCCAGAAATGGAGACCAAACAAAAATGCAAACAGTTTCTGCCTCAAATGGTCAACCTGAAAACTTAAAGCACAAGGTTAGTTCTCCCTGCCTTCATACTTGTTGGGTGGATTACATATTGTGTAATATGTGCAAATGTGATTATTAAGGTGTGACAAGGCACTATCCACAATTTCAGATTTTTCCAGATTTGAGACACATTCTTCAGTTTTTTGATATCATTATTTGTCATCCCACATGCAACTTTGGAAGTTTATGGACCTGTTTCTGGTCTAAAGTTATCATTAGTTACCAATTAGGCAATTAGATTATAAAATCTCGATCTTTCCGATGTATCCCACAGGCCCACAGTCAGAAGAAGATTCTCAATTTATCATTAATAACTTACTTAATTTCTTTTCACATATTCTTTTTTGGTATGAGAGTCAGGGCCTTGGAGGAAGTAAAGGCACATTTGTGCTTGATTTATTCTGTAGCTTACCTTCTTATGCGTGCTAAACGCTTTCTTATCTAAGACATGATATTTTCATATGAAAGAAGCCTTTGATTTTTTGTGTTTCATTAAATAATAAGGTGAACAAAGTTTTGCAGTTTAATGAGTTTAAATTGTTATGGCGTATTTGTAATTTTAATGCATTATTGTTAGACTTTAAGTGTGATTTTTGGACCAAAAGTGCTGCCCTGAAGTCGATACTGATGAGGTCTAAGTCTTAACATGACCTGGAAGTTATCTCATCTAAATATGTCCACGCTGTATGTTTTTATCTACATAGAAGTACAAAAAAATAAAGATTGCATTACTAATGCATTTTTTGGTTTACGTAAATAACTTTACTGCTTTATTGTTCTGATTATCTCACTTTGCAGGATGTTAGACCTAAAGAATCATGTGGGGTTGGTGATCAGACTCTAGCAGAGGTATTTATTCGTCAAACACAACTCAGAGGTTTATTTACTTACCTAACACATAAATATTTATTGTTTTTGGTGTTGTTTTTATTTTTCTACCATCTGTCCCTTTTACACACTTTCCTTTTACGTCCATCCAAAATATATCATATATCCTTTGGAGGAAATGGTTTTGTGATTGCTATCCTTTCTCTCTCTTCTAAATAAATCTCAATCATACAATTTCCACTTTCTTTATAATCTTGCAAAGTCAAAGTAGGAGATAAAAAATGGACGCAGATATCACTACTACTACTACAGTAAATCGTCTTCTTCTTCAACTAGTACTGTATTTATTATCTCTAGTTGTTATTATCTCAACAAAAAAGACAATACCACACTCATCTTCTTTTAATCTCCTACATTCCTTTTTTTCCTTCCATGAAAATTATCTTCATGTTTCTTTTTCAAGATTGAATTGTGTGGACAGCATTGTTTCTTTTATTTCTGAGCAGTAAATGAGTAATTCTCAAGCACACAATTTCATCCTTCTTTGTTTCTCTCTCTTCTAAATAAATCTCAATCATACAATTTCCACTTTCTTTATAATCTTGCAAAGTCAAAGTAGGAGATAAAAAATGAACGCAGATATTACTACCACTACTACTACTTCTACTGTTTCATCTTCTTTTTTAACTACTACTACTGTATTTATTATCTCTAGTGGTTTGCCTGACACTTTGATCTTAAATGCTATATATCAAATATCAGAAGCTAATTTTCGATGAGAAAGCAATCTTTTTTCTCCACCTAAGCTCTTTTTCAAAACATTTTCCTTTTCTGACAAAAGAATTTATAAATAATCATATTTTATTAGCTTTAAGTTTACTGGGTAGCGTTTAAGGAAAGTAATAAATGTCTGCCTTCTGCTTAGCATTTAAAAGGGGGAAAAGTGTGCACATAAATATCGGTGTTGTCCTGGATGTCCGATGAATTGTCTATTGGTTTTGCTTCGGCAGATGTATTTAGTCATTCCCTGGTGCAAGTTTTACGCCTCTTTCCATCAGAATTTTCAACTAATCTTTATATGAATGATACCAGGATGGTATTAATTCTTTACGAGCTATGGTAACAACTTTGGAGGAAGAACTAAGGAAATCCCGTCAAGAGGCCACTGATTATCAAGACAAATGTAAAGAATTGGAGAAGGTATAGTAATGTTCTATCAATGTTGAGCTTTTTCCTCTATTTATTTGTTCAAAGTCGTTATTATGAGTTTCAAATTTCATACTTTTTGTATGTGCAGGAGCTGAAGGCAGTTAAAGATATCGATGGGCAGATGAAGCCAAAGGTGATCTACCTCTATTTGTTCGTCCAGGTTTAATGTAATAAATGGTTGTGATTGTTGGACGTTTTTACTCTATTTTTGAAGTTCAAAAGTCAAAACACATCCTTTTATGCAATTAAAGTAAGTCTTCATGTTGACAAAGTTCCCTGAACACTGGCTTTTCCATCATATTTCATTTCCTGGATATCTGTAAAAAGTTAGGTGCACCAGTCATTGGCACTCATGTAACAGGGAAATAAGTTAATTTGGAGCCCTTTTGTAAAAGTTTTGAAGGGTTTATGATGTGGGTCTACACACCTGCAGCTGCAATAAATTATCTATACTATTCATTTTCTAGTTTGTTATAGCTGGAAGGCTATTATTTAGCCAATTCTCAGAAAGCCATTTCCTTTCGTAGAAAAGAATCCAAATAATAATATAAAAGTTGCTGATGCCATCATGTAAGGCATATGACAGTTAGAGTCATGTAAAACTATTTATTTATTGACTATTTATTCTGACGATTTAATACTATCTGATGTAGAGAATGCAAATAGTAACAGACTTGTTGATATCCTTTTCAAAAGCGGAGAGGAAAGAGGCACGAATGAAAGTGAATGAAGATTCAGTGAGATACGGTAAAGTGGGAGTGATGAGGTAATCTAGATTTTCCCCAGTTTTTGCAACGTTAGATTTGGTTTCCACTTTCCACTCTTCTTTTTTGGTTTTGTGTTTAGCTTCACCAATATTGCAAAGTTTTGTCACAGACATTTACATATTCATATGACTTACCCCAACCTCCACCTTCACTCCCTGTTATGTACCGGGATTCTATGCGTCACGGGAATGAAATAAAAATGATAAATGGATAGGGGGCTGTGGAAGTTTGGGGAGTTTTCCTTCTCCTTGATTTTCTTCTTAATTTTTCTTCGATATCTTATTAGCATAGCAAAGCTCCCTTTTTATAAGAGGGATTACATGCATATGAATGCAGAAAACAAGGAAAGGGAAATCCTAGAAAATCACTTCCTAAAATAGATTAAATAATGAAGGTTATAAAATCAAATCATTATAAAATCAATCAAGCAAATCAACCAGCTATTACTCCTCATTATTCTACTTGATTGCTCTCTTTATCTTTCCATAATATTATATTGTAGCATGCATCACTCCCATTGTTGGCAGGGGCGGTCTTAGATTCTTTTTGTTGCTTTGTGACCGTGTCCAATGTTAATTTTTAAATGAGTAGTATGTGGATTAGTAATAGGGTGATATTGTCCTGCAAGGCGCATGTCTCTTATCAAAATCAAATACAACAATGGAAAAGACGGCTCAATATTTAAATCATAAAAGAAGAGTATTCTCATCTTCTACTACTTTTTTTTTCAAACCGAAAAGTGCCATGATATTACCATTAGGTGATACATATTTCTGGTTATTGATGTATTGGCAAAACCTAACAAGCACATCAAGCATTGCCACGCTTTTATACTAATTAACAAATAAGTTATGTTGTCGGAACTTATAGCTGAGATCTCACGACATGGCCTCTCTATATGCCCACCTAGAGTCAAACCTCCCCAAGGAGTAGGCAGCTGCAGGCATCTCATTCAAATGCAATGGGTCTGGTTCAATCCCGTAATCTGTCAATGGCCTGTGCTCCAGAACATCATCGCGGTTTTGCACAAAATCAGGAATTTCAATCTCTCCTTTCTTTATGTCTTCCCAAAGATATTGAAGTCGGTTAACATACTTAATTTTCCAATATAGGCCTCCGCTTAGGAAGAACCTGCCAAGCGTAGCAATAACTAGCCGTGATCGGATCCCAGGATGAATAAAGTAAAGATCCTGAAGTCTACTCTTATGCTCAGAAGGGAGATCTTCATAAATCCACCTCAATATGGTCATGCTGGGATTGTTGTCTTCCCTTTTCACGCACTATGCATGTACACGATACAGAAAGGCCCTTCTGGCATCTCTGTGAGAATTTTCTGGAGAACATACCTTCTCAGCCGCTCTGCACTAATTACAAGAGCAGCAACATCCGATCCCCGCTCGAGGTGGAAGAATTGGAGAACATCGAGGTCGGAGAAGTCTTCCTGTACGTCGGATGGGCAGTCATGCCAGTTCTCTTCTCCAGTTTCTTGCTCCGATTGAGATAAAAAGGGTCAGGCGTCTATACCAAGTCTGATGTTAATACCAGCACTAAGAAATCCTCCGACCCGCCCTTGCCGGAACTTGCCATTTCAGACCAGTCAACTCCCTCATTCTCATCTTCTACTACATATTTGTAGTTATAGCATTAATCAATTTTGTTTTGACTTTCAAGCTTTTCGTGTTTTGTTCATGCTTGTCACCGCGTCGCCTAGGCATCGCCTAGGCGTCCTGGCGCTAGGGACTGCCCGCCAGCTTCACTCGCCCTGCAGGCCCAGAACCCAAATAAAAACAGATTTAGTCTTTAATTAAAAGCAAGCCCATAGTAATCTACCTTACCGACGATTTGTTGCCCAAAGTCGTATATCCAAACCAAGTCCCTCGCTCGCGGAAGACGAACTCGCAGGAAGCAGATGAACAACTCCACGAAGAAGACGAACTCGCAGGTATCGCCCTCCTTCAGTCCCTCGCTCACGGAAGCAGAGTAGCAGGCGACTTCCCATTTCCCAGTCCCCGATCTCTTCTTCTTGGCTTCATTTTTTTCTTATTTTAATTAATTAAGTTGTGTGTGTGTGTGTATATATATATATATTGGAAGGGTGTAGTTATATATATCGATCAATATATGTGTATCCCCAGCCCGTGAGACTTCTATTTTATTATATGTTATAAATTATAAAATAATAAACTATTAAAATAATCATAAAAACTAGTACATACTAATATATCCTGCGTATGATATACATATTTCGCATAGTTTAATTATACATATGATTATATAATCCGTATATAACTATATATAAATATACTTATATATATAATATATTATTCATGTATAGGTGACTAGTTGCCTAATTGTCGCCTAGGCGGGCGGCTTATCGCCTAGGCAATATGGCGGCCGGCTGGCGCCGCGACTCGACTTACCGCCGTGACAAGATGGTTTTGTTAATATACGCAACATATATGATTTGAAACCACTTAATATTTTTTGTTCAGATATTACTTTGTTATCTTTGAAATGGCTATATGAACTAACATTTAGTCTGTGCTTATGCTATCACATGCTGTTCTCTCCGTTCTCATGTTTGTAAAATGCTACACACCTTAATTTCTAAAATGTGATAATATGGTGTATGTGTAAATCATACTCCGTATTATGTTTGTGCTAATAGGACTTTTCCCAAGTTGTTAGACGTACAGTTTTAATCTAATGTATTGAATATCTTCTTTGGACATATAGTTGGTCATGCAACTGTATCCTTTGCATTTGCTTTTAAAATATTTGTTTAATGATCTTGTAGAGCTGGAACAGTTATATCTGAGGCGTGGGAAGATGGAAAAGTGCTCAAGGACCTCAATGTGCAACTTGTATGCTCCTTTTTTTGTGCCTATTTTAGTGTATGTAATATGTATATATGTACACACATGCACACCGCACACACACAAACACAAGCACCCACATAATGTCACATCTCTCTCTCTCTCTCTCTCTCTCTCTCTTCTTTTTTAAATCAACTGTAGTCAACGTTGCAACAAGCTATAAACCACTAAGATATGATGATGGAACAAGTGATGTATTAATCTTAGAGGAAAACATAATATTTAACAAAATAGTTTATTTTGTGGCACCTCTCTTTCCTCTACGGATTTATTTTAATAATGCAACGATTTCAGTTCCTGTTAACTTGCTTTCCATTCCTGTTTCTGATATCTAGTATTTATCTATTACTATAACAACTCATGCCCTCTCACACTATTTTTAGTGCAAATGGGGAAAAATCCACAGTAATGAAAGTTTTGGAATTTTATTTCAAAACTTTTAATAGAATAGCCTCCACATAGTGGACTCATTTGTAACAAGACTGACTTTAAGAGCACCTGATGTAAAATTCTATTAGTTTTTGACGTTGTATGAATTTATAGTTGTGTTTAATATTTTAATTTTTGAAGGAATCGACACTAAATTTGCCACCAATTCCTTCATAATTGAGACTTGAGAGGTTGCGATTAAGGTGATTAAGATGTTAGTAATTGATGCATATACCCTGCCTGTTATGGAATTATTAGCTCTTCCTATCCATTATCATAATTTCTCGTCTCTTATTGACTCCCTTCTAGGCTTTATATGGTCTTGTTAATTTTATAATTATTGCGTTGTAGAGAAACTTACTAGAGTTGAAAGAAGCGATTGAACGTCAGCGAAAATCAATGAAAAAACGACAACCAGGTAAAAGTTCTCATATGCAAAATGAGTTTTTATATATTTTTGAAGTAGTGGTGATTTGCTAGCAGACAGTCCTATAAATGCTTGTAATATACACAATGGTATTTGATTTTTAGTGCAATGCTCCAGTTTTTTTGGTCAATCTGTTGAAATCTATCTATCTATTTCACTCACACACGCACACAAGTAGTTCATATGCATGTTGTTTAGCTTGAGCAGCGGTCAAGTTATAGTATTTCTCATTAATTCTCAACTAGTCTGTTGTCTAGAATGTTTCGAAGTACAATAGGCTTTATGACGTGTCTAAAATCTAAAGCTTCAATGCTTTATTGCAGGCACTTCACTGTTTAATTTTTATTTCAACCTTCCCTTAAATTTTCTTAAATACGTGTTAATCTGACAGGAGGTTATAAATGTGCTAATTGCAGATAAGAGTGACACTGTAGATTCAGAAGCTGCTTCTCAAGATCAATATCTTCTGTTTCAGGATGAAATATTTAAGTCACGGTTAGCCAACATCAAGCGGGTAATGCTTATATTTTGTACTGTAAATAATTACATGAAAAATTGTTTTTATGTGTCCTGCGTTGTTGAGATTTCAATCTTGAGCAGGAGGAAGAAACTATAATGCGTGAACGAGATCGGTATGAATTGGAGAAAGGAAAGCTAATGCGTGAAATGAAGCGCATACGTGATGAGGATGGTTCTCGTTTCAACAATTTTCAGATTTTGAACCAACGATATGCCTTACTAAACCTTCTTGGCAAAGGAGGATTTAGTGAGGTTTATAAGGTAATCTGAAACCGGTTATATTTTTAGGAGAAAATAACATAAGTACCCCAAACTTTGAAGGGGTGTGAGATAAATACCCCAAACTTGGTTATGTAATATATATACCCCAAACTTTATATAAAAAGTTATTTTTGCACCATGATTATATGTTTTTTACAAATATAAAATTAATGCAATAAGTACACAATTTAAAATGCTCTAAGCTTTATTTGGATGCAGTTAACATTCTAAAATTTCATTTTTGAAATAAATACGTAGTAATATTAATCCTGTAGAATCTAATTTTAATTGCATCCTCATAAGTGCTTTGTGTATTTTAAATTATGTACTTCACACCATAAATTACATTTGTCAAAAAGCATATGATCATGGTGGTAACATAACGTTTATTTAAAGGTTGGGGTATGTATATTACATGCGCAAGTTTGGGGTACTTACCTCACACTCCTTTATAGTTTGGGATATTTAAATTATCTACCCCTATTTTTTATATGCCTAGACTAATTTATTTTATGTGAAGTGAAAAAAATCAAACTATTGTAGTCATTGAAGTTTACTTAAGTCAATTATTTGCTTAAAATATTATATTTGGCAGGCTTTTGACTTAATCGAATATAGATACGTTGCGTGTAAGCTACATGGGCTAAATGCTCAGTGGAGTGAAGAGAAGAAACAAAGCTATATACGACATGCAATCAGGGAATACAACATTCACAAAACATTGGTGAACAATCACATTGTGCGTCTTTGGGACATATTTGAGATAGACCAAAACACTTTTTGCACAGTCTTGGAGTACTGTAGTGGTATGTGATGTCTATCTAACCGTTTCAATTTTTTTCAGCCAGGAAGAAATAAGTGGCTGAACTTCCTCATTTTAGCTTTTACTATGATGAGGACGCAGTTGCGATCATTTTTCTTGATAGTTATATCTTGTAAATCTGTTTTTTCCGGCAGGAAAAGACCTTGATGCAGTTCTTAAGGCAACACCGGTTTTGTCTGAAAAAGAGGCTAGGATTATCATAATTCAGATTTTCCATGGCCTAGTCTACCTGAATAAAAGACAACAGAAGATAATCCATTATGATCTGAAGCCTGGGAATGTTCTGTTTGATGAGTTAGGCATTGCCAAAATGACTGATTTTGGCCTTAGTAAGATAGTAGAGGATGATGTTGGTTCACAGGGCATGGAGCTAACATCCCAAGGAGCTGGAACATATTGGTGAGTTTTGCATTACTGTGGGTCCCTCATTAAATATGTGATTTTCTGCATTTGGTCATGTACACCATCTGTGTCGTAATGTTTGTTTCCAAGAGGAATTCCTTATCAGCTTGCTTTTATTATATCTGCCCATAATTCATAGGCATATCCATTCTTTCTAATGTTCTGATGTCCTGTTTGGGATGGTGGAATTACTGGAATGGGGTGGTTGGAGTCACAATTGCAGATTCAGTTAAACTACTTGACTTGGCATTTTTTCTGATCTCAGCCATTTCCACTCATCAATTTGTTCCAGCTCCTCGTGATTTTAAGAAGTTGGTGACTAGGGATGATCAGACACCAAGTTATGCCCTTTTTTGAATTATTTTGCTCTTACATACATCTTTCTTATCAGTGAGCCTCATTTTTCTGAAATTCCCTCTTCTGGAAATGCTTCCTGTGTTTTCCCTTTGTTTCTGGCATCTACTGCATATACTGTAAGCTTGTAAGCTGTCTAAGCTTCCGTTCTAGTGGTACCAGCAAACAATTTTTGAGAACATATTGTTTAGTACCATCATAATGTCTTATTAAGAAAACAATTTTAACTGTGAAGATTTTTCTGTTACATCAGGTATCTACCTCCAGAGTGCTTTGAATTAAGCAAGACACCTTTCATATCGTCAAAGGTAAGAGACTGCTGCTAATTACAATGTGCTTATACTCCATATTACTTTTGATGCATTTTTTGTTGAAAAAGGAAAACTAGGTCAATATATCATATTTGTCCAAGGAAAACCTGCTTTAGTAATTTGGTCAAATAGTGATGCTATATCTACTGTAATCATCTGATAAAGTCTTACTCCCTCATATATTGCCCGTCCCACTATGTCTGTCTCATATCATAGTTGGTAATATTTGTGTGGTTCTAACTCATTATTATTATTATTTTATTCACACTATCAATTCAATATCAATCACATAACTCTGTCCCAGTCTCCCTGAGACTGATGTACTAGTTTTAGTATATTTTTTGTACTTTTTTTTCAAAAGAAGTGTCTCAAACAAGTTAAGTGTGTTAATTTTTTTTAACCAACAAGGCAACACTTAAATATAAAAGTAAAGCTAGATTTAGGGATCTCCAATAGTTGTACCTTACTAAAATTTAAAGTGTACTTGGGCAGAATGAGATTTGTTTTTGGATCAGAGCAATGGAGGTAGTATTTTGACTATTTTCTGTACTAATCCTCCCATTCCCTCGCTAATATAGAATGCCTTTTGCAATTGTAACTGCATAGTTGGTAAAACGGGCATTTTCTTGGTGATAGGTTGATGTATTATGGTCTACTGGTATCTTGCTGTATTAAATGCTAATATTTTCTATACTATTTTCTATACTAATCCTCCCATTCTCTCGCTAATATATAATGCCTTTTGCAATTGTAACTGCATAGTTGGTAAAACGGGTATTTTCTTGATGATAGGTTGATGTATGGTCTACTGGTATCTTGCTGTATCAAATGCTATTTGGAAGGCGCCCTTTTGGGCACGACCAGTCACAAGAACGAATTTTACGTGAAGATACTATAATTAAGGCACGAAAGGTAGAATTTCCTTCAAGACCATCCGTGTCTGCTGAAGCAAAGGTGATTTCTTCCATATGCATATCTAATTATAGTTCCTTATCACATTAATTAACAGTTTAAGCGAGCTAGTTCTAATGCACTCTTTTGTGTCATTTTGGGGGCTTATAGGACTTCATTCGCCGTTGCTTGACATATAATCAAGCTGAAAGGCCAGATGTATTGACTATAGCTCAAGACCCATACCTAATTTTCCCAAAGAAGTAATGATCACACCTCAGACTGAGGATTGGTTTGGCGGTAAAGTAATATCTATCCATGATTTTTGGGTGAATTTTGTATAGCTGTAAAGGTTATGTACGTAGTGTTTTGTTACTGCTTGGCTTATGAGGCGGGTATCAAGTGATAACTTGTTGGTTCTCATTTTTTGGAAAGTGTGAGACTGAGTCTTGATGGTTCCAAAATTTGCAAAATGAACTAGCGTAGTTTTATGGGAGGTTTCTGTAATAAGTTTGATGCAGAAAGCCCGGTAGAGCATGTCATGCAAAAGAAATCTGTAATTTTTTCTTCATAAATCATAAAAGCCGCACACGAGTTGTGGATTTGGTCAATATTTTTTAGCTTATGTCGATTCATGTTAGCCCAAACTCTTTTGGGATTGAAGTTGGATGTTGTTGCTGGACTTCTATATCTAAGAAATATGCTGTCCTGACAGGCTGACACCCATTTTTGTTTTTAAGCTAGGATTAAAAAAGAAAACCGCTATCGAAAACAGTAAATAGTTTTTGAAAACAATATTACCTACTTTTCAAGATTCCTTATGAAGTTATGGTATGAAATGAATTGTTTTGGCATGCAGAACATAGATAGGAGTGGACTGTGGACATGTTACTTCGACAGTTCACTGAATAGGATCGTATTAAACCAATTCAAATTGAAATGAAATAGAACATCAAGCAACTCAATTGAGTGTAAGAATATTACTTTTAAACCTTAATAAACTGAAACAAAGAGAAATCATGAAAAGCATGATCAAAATAAGATTGAACTAAATATTTCAATAAAATCTTTTTTTTTACAACAACAACATCCAAGCCAGGCAAGCCTTAGTTCCAAAAGATATCGGGGTCGGCTAATAAAATCTTTTTTAAAAAAAAACAAAAATAAACTGAAACACATTATGGTTTAATATGATAATCATCTCCCTAAAAATGAATAAAAACTGAAATGGTCATTCGTGATTCCCAATTAGGGTTGGATTCGGTTCGGGCCACCTGGCCCGTGACCCGGCCCGGCCCGTGACCCGGCCCGGCCCGGTACTGTGCGGGCCCGGGACTGGCCCGGTCGGGCGGTCCGGGACCGGGTATGGACCCGAACCGGTGGGAAGGGGCGGGGCGGGCTCGGTGCTGGATTATTGTGACCCGGCCGGGTCGGGCCCGGGTCTGGGTCTAATTTTAAATTTTTTTTTTTGGTTTGGGCTACTAGCCTTTGGGGGTGGGGCTGGGGACAACCCAAACGGTTATATAGCCATTGGGTGGGGTAAAGGGGGGGTCCGGGGGGGGTTGGTGGGGTGTGGGGGTGGGGGGTAAAAAAACCTATAAATACTCCTAATCTTAAACATTTTTTCATATCTCTTCTCCAATTCTTCCTAAATCCTATTCTCAACTCTCTAATTCTCTTATTCTCCAATATATTATATTTATTATTTATATATACTTAGGAAGTTAAGATGGAAAATCAAGATGCCATTATACGGTATAATTTTGATAAGCAGAAGGACCCGAAGACCGGGATGCGGTACGCAATTTGCAAATGGTGCGAGAAAAAATGTAGCATGGGGGTTTCTGGCGGATTCGGAATGGCAATCAAGCATATGAAGTCATGTGACAAAGCCAAAGGATCGGGAGGTGCGGGAAGTTCCGATTGATTACAATTTTCAAAATGTTTATCTGTTAAAGTTTGTTTTAATTTTCAAATGTAGTTCCTATTTCATTTCAAATAAATGCAATTGAAGTTTGTTTTTAATACTCGTATAAAACTATAAACTATAAAATATAAATTATATATAAAAAAAAATTAACCGGCCCGAACCGGACCTGACCCGTGACCCGGGCGGGTGGCCCGGCCCGGACCGGACCCGTCCAACCCTCGGGCCGGTCCCGGGCCCATGTCATACTACCCGGGCATGACCCGGCCCGAGTCCACTCATATTCCCAATATAGAAGGAAGAGTGTAAGGGTCTATTTACTAACAAAGTTATTTTCCAGTTTTCAATTTCTATTTTCGGTTCTTCAATTTTCTATTTTTATTTTCTTGCTTTTCTATCTTCAATTTTTTGTTTTCATTTTTTAGATTTCCATTTTCTAATATGAAAACATGTCAATACAATTTTTTCACCCGGTTCCGTGATCGACTAAAAGATCGAAAATACGGTCCTTTTCCAGAACCAAACCTAATACAACCCAAGTAGGGTACTGCCATACTCGACCCATGTATAGGAAACTTGGGACCAAAACTGGCTGGTCCTAATTGATCTCAACAGTTAGTTTGATGAATTCTTTTCTCATTTTTCTATTGGTTGACAACTCAACGACTCTTTTAAACTCTTCGCTTTAAAAAATGTTTCTGAAAAACTGAGACTGAACTGTCGAGTCATTGATTGACTTGGATGGGATCGCTCGGTTGTCGATTGGATAGAATACAGATCGTCACATCATTTTCCAGTCAGGATGGGGATCGTCACATCGTTAACCGGATAGTGTGTGGACCGCTAGGTGGTTGATTGGACAGGACGGGGACCGGCAACTCATTGACCGAACCGAATAGGGAATCGCCGAGTCGTTGATTAGACCGGATCAGATCGAAACTGCCCGGTCATCAATCGGACCAAACAAGTACCGCTTGGTCGTGGATCAGACCAGACATGGATCGTCGGGTCATCGATTGGACCAGACAGGGACCGAGGGTAGTGGATCGGACTAAATAGGAGCCACCGGGTTGTGGACCGAACAAGGACTGTCGTGTTGTGAACAAGCCCGGACATGGCCGTTTGCTTGACCATCGACTGGACTGATCATGGATTGTCTAGTCAATGATCGGATTAGACTGCTGGGTCGTTGACCAGACCAGATAGGGATTGTCGGGTCGTTGACCTGACCATACTAGAAATAACATCGAGCGATCATCTGTGTTTTCTAAATTTGGAAAACTAGTAAAAGTCACTTCTTCAATTCATTAAAAAAAACAGAGGCATATCTCATTTTTTTGGTTTTGGAAAACAATTTGGTAAACGTAGTTTTCTGTTTTCCTTTCTCCAGTTCTCCAGCAATTTCATTTGGTAAACTCATTTTCAGTTTTCCTTTTTCCAGTTTCTCAGTTTTTTTTTGAAAAATTGGAAAATATATATGTTAGTAAACATGCCTTAATTATTTTTAGGGAAATGGTACAAATATACCTCCACATTATGAGTGTGGGAACAAGTATACCTCTATTCTATCTTTCGGAACAATTCTACCCATGAAGTATATGTGAAAGTGCATATATATCCCTGAGCTTTTAAAATGTGCAAAAGTACCCCTCATGTTCTTATAAATGAATAAATTTACCCCGATTATCTTTAAATTGGTGAGATAAATTTCAAAAAACACCAAAAATATATTATAAATTCAAAATTAGAAATTAAAAACGTACTTTGTCCAATTCTCCCTTTTATTGATTTTATATCACACTCTAACGTTGTTAGTTTAAAATATGATTTCAAAATTTAACTTAATATTTTAGATTTTTTTGAAAAAGTGTTAACATATGTGTTAAAATGTAAAGACAATATATCAATTTTTTGCATTCTTTGCACTATAAAATTTACATATTTTGTATGATGATAAATAGTTCAAGATTACAAAATAGTGAATTTAATTATATTAAGGGTAAACAAAATCAAAGATTTTTATTTCAAAAAATGTAACAATGTGTTCAAAATATCGCAACAAGATTAAAATTAATATTTATGAATTTGAAGTGCTTCGTTTGCAATGGAAAAACATTAATTTTGAAATTTAAAGTTAACACAATAAAAAGTTTTTATTTTTAAATTTCAAATTTATAAATTATTTTTGGTGTTTTTCTAAATTTATTTTATATATTTAAAGTCAATAAGGGTAAATTTACTCTTTTATAAGAACATGAAGCGTATTTTTGCACTTTTTAAATGTTCAGGGGTATATATACACTTCAACGTACACTTCAGGGGTATATTTGTTCCGAAAAGTAGAACATGAGTGTATTTGTTCTCACACTCATACTACAAGGTTATATTTGTACTTTTCCCCTTTTTTTTACCACTAAAGATGCTTTCAAAGTTTAAGTTACACTCATATTTTCAGGTTTGAGTTATTCCAATTTTTTAAGCTTGATGCAGTTTGTATAGCATACTTCTATGAAGCATGGACACTTCACTAAAGTACCGTATTGACGTATCGAAAAAGTTCATATATCAGATACTCTAGGATACCCGTAACGTACGTCCCCGGACCGTATCTGTAATTTATTAAAAGTTTTCAACTATTTTGGTAATTATTTAAAATTTTGGATACCCATATTCTGACAGATACACATATCAACTTTTTTGAAGAAATAAAAAAAACCCAAAATTTACATAATAAAGTATTTAAAAAATGAAAAACTAAAAATAAATTTTACATTGTTTTAATCTTGCACACAACTTAGTATATGGACGACACGTAAAATGTGATATGTTGGTGGAGATGACTATGAGAGCATGAAGGATAAAAGAGTACTTGAGTTCTCCAACCTTTCCATAGATGAACCAGAATTGGAGATTGTCCTTTTTAAGACAATACTGGCCTTGTTTGGCCCATGGCTGTTAGCTGTTGCTGTCAGCTGGTTGTGTCAGCTGTTTTCTAATAGCTGATTGTGTTAGCTGTTTTGATCGACTGGTTATGTTAGCTGACTATAAATAATTGTTTGGTAAAATTGACTGCTTCAAAATGGCTGATAGAGTGTAACCCATCTAAAAGAATGAAAGAAGCCAATCTAAAAAGTTGCCCCTTGACTTTTCCTACCAGCCATTTTTTCAGCTTTTCGGACTCAACAAGCCAATCTAAAAAGCTATTTACCAAACATAAATATTGAGTGCTTTGACTAATGAAACAACTAAATTTGGTCAAACAAGCTAAAAGTTGGCTGATATGGGCCGCGGGAGTAGGATGCTCAATATGGGCCGCTCCCACGGTATACGAACTGCCTTTCCTTGGAAATTTTCAAATAAGAGCCGTAAATGTTGAATTCTGAGGAGATCGTGAGAAATCCATTTTTTTAAAACGAGAAGCTATTTTACTAAATACATCCTTATATTTATATAACTTTGAATATGAAGATTGATTCAAACCAATTCTTTTTGTGACTTACTTTTGGTGCTTCGATGTAATTCATAGTGATAAATAATTATACATTGTGTAATTAATTTAAATAAGTTTTTCAAGTTTATTTCAAAATATATTTATGATAAAATAATTCGAATTTAATTTACGACATGCATCTCCATAATATACTATCTCGTAGTATAAAAAAATATCATACGTATCTAAAAATCTATTGTCTATGTTCCATTATATGTGTCCTACTTTAGTTTGGCACGAGTATTAAGTTTTTTGGTTGAAAAA